AATATGAAACTTCTTTACCTCTTCTTGAACATTCTAATTTCATAGCCCTAAACTGGGTACCTGAAAGTATTTCATTGAATTTGTGTAAAAGATTGTACTACTTCCTAAAAGACTCCGTGTGTTATTTGATAGCCTAAAAAACAGTGTGCCGATACAGGGTTTCGATTTATTTACGAAACTAATCTGACCAGTTGCTGCATTCTTTGATACTAATTTTCAAGGAAATAAAACATCTGTTTTTCACTTAATTCGAGAGACACGTAATTGAATATTAACATACGTTCATTATTTAATTACTCGCAATAAATAAAATTTTTGTAAGTAAATAACGTGTAAGTAAATTCATATGTAAAAATTTACCAATTGCCAGAAAGTAATTGTTCGTGCGTATTAAGATTCTGACAATAGGCGGTAAAACTATTCGTATTCCCATATAAATTATAAATATGTAAATGTTAATAAAAGCAGTGTATATATTTTCCCACATGTAAATTTGATAAACTATTTATGAAACTACATCTATTCCGAATTTATCTGTTACAAATATACAAATGTAAGGCAAGATATAAAAACGAATAAAACAAGAACATGTAAAAAGTAAAATTAATAAAATATCCATTAACGATACATTTAGAATAAATTGTCTTGTAGTTAAGTGAAAAAATATATACTTTTCCGTTACATGTTTCATGATTGTCGTATTTATCCCTTAACCTTAAACTGAAATATCGGATATTTTTATTCCCGTGAAATCATATAGATACACGCAATATGAATGGAATATATAACACTTCATTTGTGCTAATAATACTCAGAATTCATGCTTTATCGGTAACGTGGGGTATTGACACTAAAATGATAAGGGGGCTTCTGACACCCTCGAAGTGTGGGACAGAAAATTACATTGCATGTTAGGTCTATCCTTATATCTCGTCTGTGGTGACGTACATTTTGCGTAGTAGTTGACGGTGGTGAAGGGCGTACATAGAAATTATGAATAGATTTTGCTCTACAAACGCTAACGTTTATTAGGTCATAGTAACAGAAAGTGTCACGGTGAGGAAAGCAACACTAACGAAACTTGTTTAGTGATATAGAATGTTGAACTCGCAGGTTGTTAATCTGACATGGTCACTTCAGTAAGTAATGCGTGCAATGCATGATGTTTAGTGAATACAGTGACAGAAGTATTCTATTCAAAATACACAAATATACGAAATTGAGATGATTCTGATACTCATGTGTGTTCGCTTTTTCAGAAAGAAAAATGGTAATTTGAACGACCTCTGGCCAGAACTGTGTCAGACAAATCAGGTCAAACACTCTGCTCATAGAAAAGAATTGACAAACACAGAAGAAAATAACAGAACCATTAGTTTGGACAATGTGGAGTATCCTGAACTTGGGAGTGCGATTGTTAAGAATAAAAATTCTGTAGCCATGAACAGATATATCTCGCCAAACCCTACCATAACAGTTTTAGTACCCGAATTGAATTTAGCACCAAAGAAGCTAAAAAATATGAGAAGATTTAAGAGAGCGGAAAAAATTTATATTAATCTTGAGGAAGAGGTGGGTAATATTAGCTTGTTGCTTACATCATAGTTATTGAATTAGAATGTAATATAATTATTGTTACAGAGCACCAAATTTGCATATAAAATAAATAACAAAGAGCTACCAAAATTCAGGATTAATATTTCCAAGGGGAATACTGATATAACAAATGCAATAGACAGAAACTCAAGTTCCAACTTGAGGAAAATTAAGGTACCAATTTCCAAAGATACAAAGCCCTCATCAAAATTGAAAAGAGCAATTCTCTTCAGCCGTGACATGAAAGTACAAATCAATGTGCAGAAGAGGGAAGCCTTTGAACAAGCAAAGATGCAGGCTATTTGCAAAGATGTTGATGCTATTAATTTCAATGCTTTAAAGATTACATCTGATCCAGAAATGGACTATGTTAAGCGTATGTGCACAATGACACTATACAGTAAAGACTATAGGCAGAGAAATGCACAAAACATTTCTGATAATTCTGTGTGCTATAGGCCAGATATAATTGATAAAATAAATACTCTCCACATCCAAAGAAAATCTATATTAAATACATTAACTGGAAATAGTAGTAGTTACAATCCTTTTCAATTTAATAACAGTACAGTTGAAAATGATATTGCCCAGAAGACACGCTCCCTTCAAATAAAAGATGATATTAAAGAAGAGATTAAGCAAGAAATTAAAGAAGAGCCTGAAGATATTATTGAATTAGATGTTAGCAACTCTTTAATCTATTCGCGTAATTTTAGAGAGTGAGTATTTAACTAATATGTAGGTAGTTGACAGACTTGTATTATGTACAAGACTTAAACGTTATTTCATAGTGTTTTATAAAATTATAATATTAATTTGTATTCTCAACACCCTGCCCTTTATGTTTATAATAAACAATGTATTTGATACTACTAAAATGTCTTATAAAACTGTGTCTCCTAATCCATTCCCATTCCTCTCCTTACTAGTCTTTAAGGGGCGTAAGCAGCTCAAGTACAGTTCTAATTATGTAACGTGGTACGTCTTGCAGATATTGTACGAACATGTTGACACCCGGTTTAAGGGACTCTCTCGAGACATTTATGCGTGAAATAACAAGGCTGCAGAGACGATTTTACGAAAAGAATCCAAACAAATCTAAGTATAAGCGTCGTTACTATTCCGGTTTAAAGGAAGTTTGTAAGCACGGTGAATACAAGAAACTTGTGTTTGTGATTATTGCGCCCGACCTTGAGAAGGTTGAACTCGAAGGTAACAATGAAAAAAAGTTTTTTAAATAACTATTTCGGCGTCTGAACTTTTGCACACGATGGGTGCAGTGTCGGCATGTCTGTACCTTCGGTTACAGACGTAGGGGATTCCCACACAGTACGTTAAGTATTCAAATTTAAAAGAATAATTTGATTAAACCCTTACCTTTACGCGATTGCAGGTGGACTGGACGACCAAGTGAGTAAGTTGCTCGATATGTGCAGGAGACAAAACGTAGTTTCCTGCTTTGGTTTAAGTAGACGAAAGTTAGGGTACTATACTCACGGCACAGGATTTGTAGGATGCGTTGGTATTACAAACTATAGTGGCACCGAAGTAAAAGAATCAGTATACTTAATATAACACTGCGCACCACAAGAGTCTGACTCGTTTATACTTTGTTTCAGGAACTTTTTAAGAACGTTTTAATAGAATTAACGGACGCTCGAAATACGTTCAAAAAGTTGAGTGGCGTAACGGACGCGTTCATCGATATATCGAAATCGATCTCGGAGGACCACTTGCTCTCGGAGAATATTGGCGCGCTTTTGAAAATTTTATCTCCTATTAGTATACACTGCTAAAATTAAATATAATATAATAATTATTAATATGATATAATAATTATATTTAATTATAATATTGTGAATTAAATTTTTATTAATAATTAGGGTATAATAATTTTTATAAAATTATATTGCTTAACAAAGAAATATAAATTAAATTAGAATTAAAAGGAATTTTATGACACACTTGTTACTCCACATACGCATATAAGATTAGGAAAAGTCTCGTACAAGGGTGTCAATCAATTTTCATTCGATATTATAAAGAATCAAACTTTTATTTTGACAATAATTTCTCACTACTACGACACAAAATCCAAATGAATAAAGATTTATTCCAATAGATGTTGTTATCTCAAACAGCATAAAATTTCATAAATCCGTTAACGCATAATTACAATACAATTAAATACATACTTTACAACTCTGCTAAAATAAAACTACCCTGTAACAAGTAACACACGTCTTCCAAAATTTCAAATACAAAATACCAGTCTGACCTCGAAACATTTTCAATTGACAAATTTACGAAACAGTATCCGTTCTTCCCATAAAACAAACACGAAAATGGAGAACATCGTAAACCTTTAATTTCACAAATTAATGACAAACAGCAACAGTTATTAGTTATCAAAGATTCGATTAACAATTAAAAAACATTAAAAAAGAAGTGACTGATTCTTTGTTCGATAAATTTCGCGTCCCTTGAGTCGAGATCCGTAAAATCGACAGTTCATTACAACATTTAACATCGTCCCTCGATAAAAGTAACGTCTCAGTTCGTTTAATAATGATTAGACTACGGATTTTATACTCTCGATAAAACAAAAACTTCAACAATATTTAACAATGTCATTATTTTATCACCAACACAATAAACCCATTATGACGAAAAGAAATTTCATTTCTGTTCATCTTTAATTTTCCGAAATCAATCTACATAATATAATTACAAATTCGCATAAACATCCGTAGTCTAACGACAATATTCATTAACCTGGCTATCGATCATTCAACACTCAAATATTAACCCGGAACTAGGGTTTCATTTTATACTCTTAAATGTCGCTCCTTAAGAATGACAACACGGTCCTCAGCGTATAATGTTATATTCGACTAGATTATATGATATAAGTCTCTCTACTGTTTTTTTACCTTTTTTATTATTTTTCTTTTTTACTTCTCTATCCGATATCATCGAGGCGTTTTGAACGTCTAATGCTCCTGCACGGTATATAACTTAGCCAAGCACAGCTGATGGAACTATCCCCCTTATTGACGTGGCTTTTACCATGTGGCGAAACTAGAAGAGAATCGTTTGATGGCGATAAATTTGTTTAAAATCACGTTTTCAACACGGGTTTTCAAGCCACGCGTAACAAAATAGACGCACGTGTTTATTTACATTGCTTAAAAGCCGTGACAAATGGGATTACGTCTTTAGGTAAGATGTAGAAGAATAGGAGGATCTGCCCTATTATTTTTCTCTCTCTATTTCTCTGCATACAGTTTCTCTGTCTATTTACGGGATACTAACTCGACGATTACAAAAGTCAACAGCCATTAGTTTTTTAGTATACAGTAAATCATCGATGAGTATTCGAAGGTTCCTCGACATTCATAAGGAGAAAAGTCCCCATGTGTAACGTTGACTTTTTAATTAGGTTTAGCACAATGATAGAGCTTGGAATTCTGAAGCCAATGATATTTATTTCAGCCGCATATTACCATTAGTTTATGAAATATTTAATGTTCAGTTCCGAGGAGCCTACCAACACTTATCGACGATTTATTGCAATCGTCTTCGTTTTTCTATCCCGTTCATCCGTAGTTCCTTCTTCAAGTATCAGCTGTGCGTGGCTCGACTGTATCTAAATGGTATCGCGTGGTATACAAATAACCTCAATTCTCAATGGCCAAGTCAATTGGACTCTATGGATAATAATCGTAATAATCGTTCTCTAGATCTCCGCTTCTTACGCGCTACTATTTCGAATGTTTTGTATAAACCCTGCTAGAATTGCGTCAACCCGTACCCCTGAAATCGAGGTCCGAGCATTTTGTCGCTTAAGGGGCTACGTGCACTTAAACGAAATCCAGTCAGCTGAGCGTTTGGTCACTCGTACGCGCCGACCGCTCAGCTGACTGGAGTTTGTTTAACTGCTAATATCTTGGAAATGGAGCTTCAGATTACAAAACGGTAAAGGACTTTTCGATTTGTATTTGCACGAGGAATGTGAATGTTGCAGATTATCCCATCGTTTCAGGACAGCATGTACGTAACACCCTCTTCGGAAAACAACGTAGAACCCACATACGTTAGAAAGATCAATTACTCTTCGAAAGATTTTCATGTGTACGCGTCCTTATAGTTCTAATTACGATTAAAGCGCATACGGTGCGCGCTTAAAACGCCATTACGTAGCTATTTTAAGGCATTTACCACGAAATTTCGTACGAATGTTCTAAGAACATCGTATTTTCGAGAAAGCATTATCGAACGTAGCCCCTTAACTATAACATTCCTTCTTGTTACCTCTTTAATGCGATCGCAGATTTGTGCGTTTCGGCGCGCGATCGCCTGTGCACATAGTATGCAGGTTAAAATTGTCCGCTGAGAGCCCCGGGACCGTCGTCGTCGAACGTGTTGCAACGAATCACGGGAAACGTACTTACGGGTTCTGTGTGTGTGTGTGTGTGTGTGTGTGCGTTATTGGAAAAAACAAATTCGCGGTTCCGCCGTTCGTGTCCGTGTGAAATTGTGCCACGACGTTAAAAAAATACTTTCGATCCCGATGGTCCGTTTATCCCTTGAACGAAACGCGAAGTAAACATCCGCGGGTATCGACGAACACGTCATCTCATGGTGACTATATAAAATGTTCTTAACCTACGATTTACTCTAACTTCTTAATGTGTATAGTCAGGCCTCTGTACAATTTGGCGCAGCGTCAGCGCTAGAAATCTAAGTACAGTTCGAATTAACGTAACGATTTTGTGGAACGATCTTTTACCCCGGATTACCGTAACGATTTTCCATTAACAATTATAAATCGATTTGGGGTTCAGAGCTCCTCGAGCGATTCCAAAATTCGTTAATCTGATCCGTGCTTTACTGCACACTCGACGAAACGGTTCACATTACTCTGGCAATAGTAAACACGTTCACGAAAATCTGTTAATCACACCCTTTACGTTGATTTGTAATTTCAGGAAATTATCAATGGCGAAACTGAATTGCTGCGAGTGGACAAGTGGAACGACCTACGGGTATCTAAAGATTACACGCTTTGTTTATAGAAAATAAATATTCGACAACAACGATATATGTATAACAACAACCGTGTAAGCTCAGTACTATTTTCGATGCACTCGACGCAAACGCGAGAGAACATTACCATATTCGTAACGAGGTGTGACGATAAAAACATACAGACTCCTCGATTATCGTCCCGAACACTGGTCCGAGCTGGGACAATAATCTTATAGAGAGAAATGCTTCAGACCCTCGCAAATTCATTTTTTGTCCGAAGCCCGAGCCTCGGAAATATACGGAGGGGCAAGAAAGTATGCGTTTGACAGGTTCCACGACCCCCCGTCCTCCCAGTGGTGGGGATGGCGCCTGGACAATAATCGTGTAGAACAAGCCAGACAATAATCGAGAGGAGTCTGTACATTGTTTTCCCGTGAAATGAAGTCGTTAAATGGGAACGACGCTTAATTTGTTTCACAATAAACTTACGTTTTACCGGCGATGATTGGCTGTTGTCATTTCGAAAGAACGTATAATCGGAAACGGTGCGTGCAAAGAAATTGACAAGATGCGTGTTTGCCTCTTTAACCGATTCACGTGTCTCTGTCGCAACGTTTTCAACCCCTGAATGTGCCCCGTAATGCCGTGAGCGAGCCTCGTTAGAGACAAACACGCTTATATTTGTATGCACGAATTGACTGGTAACACGCGCGCATGATTCCCCCCTTAATTATTCTCACGGGGAATCCAGAAATGGTATGTGTACTCTCGACCCGATTGACAATAAAGATAATCGTCGTCGATCGAACGTAGGCCTGTCCGTCTGCACGGTTCTCTGTTTCGGTCGGTGGGATTATTGACAACAATTTATCGTTGCGCCACGCGCCGTGGAATCGGAAATACTCTAACTGGGCCCCATTCTAATTTACCGACAAAAAAATTCCCATCGACAATTTAACGGTTTATTTTGAAAAGGTTGCATAAATCTAATTTCAAGAATATCGACGATATGATTATTACGGCTAGAGACAGAAAAAAGTGAGTCGTCCTTTCTAAGATTGTAAGTTTCATTCAAATGTTATCTTTGTACAACATAATAGTATTTGCCTCCAACGTCCTAAATACACATTCTAAATAATAAACTCTAAAATTTTGCATCTGCATAAAATTCCGTAGCTTACTAATAACTGTCGCGAAATGTTTTTCGGTAAATTGAATGTGGCCAGGCACTCACGCGAATGAGCTGGCCTCGATCGACAACCGTGTCCCGACTGTTGCTCCGTGAATCAAAGGAACTTCAGTCTACGCCAATGCAATGTACCCGTTACATTGGCTCATCGACTTTGCAACCACGTTTTAATATACTCGAGTTCAGGAGTTTGATTGGTCAAGGATACTGAGGGCTATAAATTACTGTCCGAAGCTTGCTGCATCTGCATAAGACATGCGACTTCAGCATTGCCAGAAGTTTTAGACCAGGTTATACATTTTTTAGTCACAGTACCTTTTTGGCAGCCTGCAATTTGGTACGATAATTACTATCAATCAGATGGATAACTCGATTTCCCGTGGTTACTGCAAAATTGTTCCTGATCGATCAGATCTCACGAACACGAGTATAGTAGCCGCGTTAATAAACAAAAAAATTCACTAGTAATTTCTAATCTAAGGTTATTATTACCGTACTAGCATTCATCATCGATTTCCAACACAAGTTTGGCAGTAGACAAACTCCACGATTTTGAAAAGAAACATCATTAAACCGAAGTCGATGAACGGTTGCGACCACAATGGCGGCCATCTTGGTACACGCTTCTTTATTCGATCTACAATGCGTGTGCAGAAAAAGCGGCACCCAATATATAAAACGGTACACCTACCCTCGTAAACGTTAGTCGATGAAGTAGAGATTCATTCTCGTCCGTGATATCATAATTATCACTAATTTTGTGCTTGAAAGAGAGTAAGTAGTCCTATTAGACTTTCAACGTGAAACCGTCGGGTGACAGAGGTGTCGCTTTCGGTGACAGGACACGTGACCCTTTCTCATGTAGATATTGACTATGTTCACAGTGTTCCGGTGGTTCTTGTCGTGTGCATTTGTCACGCACGACGAACAAATAATCATAAGAAATCGGTTTCTTCTTTGAATCTCACGTGAATAGGTCCTGAAGCCTACAATACCTATTCACAAAATGTTACAAAGGGACAACTTAAATACCGTGGCATTTGAGTTGAACCACCCGTCGTGAGTATGTCCAGTAGTCTGCAAGACCTATTTCACCCAAAGACACAGGTAGCCTAGAGATTCATAATCCTTCAAATGTTCAAAACTTTCTCTCCCTCTTTTTGTTCTAGCAACTATAGCATTTGTACTCGGTGGACATCATATAACGAACTCGTAAACTGCTAAACAAATATAAATTGATAGTGATGGGACTCTGAGACTTTCTGTTTTCCAAATGTTTTGTCCAGATCAAAAATACAGAGACTTAAGACAAGTCTTATTCTATGAGAGATTAGAATGGTTTATTCAATGAAAAAGTTAGGAGCAATGGTTTCGACAGAGAGCCTTCTCAAATCTCTGTTACACCTACCAGATCTGTAGAGGATGGCTTGTCAGAGTCTCTCTCGTGCTACCCTGTAAAAGTATTAATTCAGGGATGTCCAAATGATAGCTCTTAAGAACTGCGCTTAGCCAAATAGCGACCAAGCCAAGAGCAATTGTCTCAAGCCAGAGAAATCTGTGAATATGGTATATGAGTCCTCTATGAATTACTCTCTCTCTCTACAATCCTTACTATCTCACATTAGCCCATTATGTTCCCACTCTATTCCACATGTTCAGCTCTTGGATTCGCTCGTAAGATACAAGAGCCCTCCAACCAGCAACAGCAAAGCCTGGACACCCCTAAATTACCCAAAACCGTACACAGTTCAACCTCGAGTCCCATCAGCAGAAGCCAAACTCGACCCAAAAACACTTTCTACAAACCCTGAACGATCATTCCAACATCCTGTTTCAAATTTCCGCAAAAAGCTTCCACCAAAGCTGCCGGAAACGCTTCCAACAGACTTCACGGGTTCGTTAGATTCAGTCCAGCCGGGCTAGTCGCTCGGTTCACACAGGTGAACCTGTGTCGATTAACATCAACGCCGCGGGACCGCGACTCCACGTGGCGGCAGACAAACCTCTTCACCCTCGAGGCTGCAGAGGCTCGAGGGATCGATTCGACGGACCCGAATCGCGTGAGTTCGTCGAGGGAGCGTTTCGAGAGCCGTCCTCTTCCCCGTGGACACGCTCACCCTCCTTGGAGGCAACGTAGCGACGACACCACCGCCACAAACGCCTCCCTCCCCCGTGTTCTGCTCACTGAAACGCGATAGAAGAAACCATCACGGCCCGGGGCCCCCCGAGCCGGACACACGGACTCCGTTTACTCGTTCGACATCAGCTGCACGCTGTCGTCCGGCGATCTGTGCAGCCGTCGAACGCCGGACAACGAACGGATCGGTGTCGGATGCAGCAACGAGAACGTGTGCGAGTGGCGATCTGAAAAAAGTCCAACAAAGCACGCAACGTCCTCGTCAGCGCTGGTCTTTGACCGCCATGTTGCTTTTTGGAGAAGAAATTGTTGCGGGGCCAAGACAATTACATACCCAGATACCACATGACGCCCAATGACGCCTTGAAGACGGCTTAAAAGCGCCTTAGACCTAAAATAAGGCGTCATATGCTATCTGGGTATTGTATGACTGACTTTTTAACCCTTTCGTTTCCATTGTTGCCATATCGTAGTATTTGGAAATTTTTATTTATATTCGATAACGGTCACCGGTGACTGACATAACGCGAACAAAAATTTTTGGCTCGGTCACCGGTGACTGATGTGACATGGACGGAAACTTTTGCTTCGGTCACTGTAACGTGTCTATTGTACTGTCATCTGGTACCATATAAAGAGAATTATTTGTAAGCTGGTAACATTTTCGTAACGGTCGGTATTTAATGGGTTAAATAATAAGAAGTATTCGATTCCTAAAATGTAATATTTACTATTTTGCGAGCAGGTAAATCTGACAGTAGTGTATAGGTTTTAAGATAATGACTATATAGTGGTCGATACACGAGCATTTCTATTCCCAGTAGTGAATACTTGAACAGAAGTGAATATTTCAGCGGTCAGCGTGTTAAATATGAATGATCTAATTCCATTCCCCGAAGGACGCTCCATTTCGACCATTTAAGCCTCTAGAATATTCAGCATAGACAAACGAGCCGGGGTTACTGTACCGCGTCATATAGAAACGAGATCTTTAACGTGAGCTGTGAGCCCCCAGGAGAACGATATAAAAAATCGCGCAATGCGACACAGACCGACATCGATTACATCTTTTACACGAGTTATCCGACACGAATAACGTATCACGAAACGATAAACAATGGCAAGGACCAACGAAACTTATTAAATTATTTAATTATTCAAAATATATTTTTACGATTATTAAATTATTCAAAAGAATCAGTCGCGGAACAGACGCACAGCGTGTTAAATAAGGGTACAAAATCCCCCGAAAAAAATCGTCCTAAAGTTCTCCAAATATTAGAAGTATCGCACCTAGACTCACGTTCATATTCGAACCGCCTTCCTCCGAATGCAAACATTTCCCAATCAGGTGATTGTTGTTTCATCAAATCCGTCACTGGGCGGACACATTGCGTGTGAAACAAAGAGGATGAAATCGATCGGATCCGCGAACAGCAATCGGAGGAAGAGCCGATCGACACGTTACACCGCCAGAGGATAAAGTCAAGGCACACCCACAGAGGCGTAGCCGGACCATTAATTTATGCGGGGGTTAAAAATAAGGGGGTGAATCGATCGCACATGTCTATAAGCACCAGCCATCAAGGTCGGGGAAATAAGTGTCCCGTACGAATATATGAATTCGCTAATGTCCCAAAGTGTGTCTGTGTCACGGGCCTAGATTTCCATATATGCATTCCTTTTGGCGCAGGTTAAGCCGGGGATCCACCAAAAATCTAAACTATGCTACGCTATGGTAAGTTCAAAGATATTTGCTTCAATACAGGGTGAAACAAAAAAAAGGGGTTCGTAACTTCTGGGATAGATAGTACTTGCCAAATGATGCTCTACTTCCTCTAGTTTCCAGGATATTCCAAGAAATAAATTTTCATACCTCAACTTTGGGGGCTGTTATTACCCCCTTAACGTGGACCATGGCCGATAAATAAAAATACCTGTCAAATAGTTTTTGGAGAATTATCTCCCACATAAGTTTCATTAAACACAGCGTGCACGGGATCGGTATGTTCCCTTGTTCCGGTGGATCCCCGGCTTTATCCGTGGTATTTCGCGATCGAACGTTCGGAACTCGGCCTACTCGACACCGGCAGCACGGTTGTTGTGTATGGACACGAAACTTCACGATTACGTATTTTAGATCGAACGGCGCACGTGATTATTTGTATATGCGGTTGAAAGTTTCGCTAATTACTGTCCCGTGTGGAACCGTATGTATGCACATGGATGTCAGCGTGTTGGATCGATGCACACGAAACACACGTTGTTCCGCGATAAGAGCAATGGCGTACGGAGCACGTGGTAGAATGAATTCTCGATCAGAAGGTGAGATAGTGACGAGAGTAACTGTTTGCAATTCGGTTGGTAAAAAATAAATTGTGTTTTGTGGGTTTCTCTCATTATAAACACGCTTCTATACATATGTATAATGGCACAGGTAGGACGCCCTTCCCCTACGCCACGTTTTGCCCTAATGGAAGCCGAGTTTGCTCGTGAATGTAGGTACATACATACGACTATAATCATCGAACGGAGTGTAACGATCGATCAGTAGAAAACTAATTTTTATTAGAGCCTCGCAGCCACAAGGAACAGGCTCTAAGAGCTTACTTAGCGGTGTAACGTATGCAACGAATGCACGCGAACGACGCCTATCTAACAGAGGATCTGAAAGCCAGGGGGCCAGGCTCAACGTCGTGCGGAGGAACCGTCGGATCGGTTAAAGCAGTATGTGTAATGAGCAATCCCGAAGTTGTTTGCACGACCCACTTTAACCCTCGGACGACGATGACCGGGTCACGTTGACCCATGTTTTGAAGAACTTCATCCACTTCAACAGCTTCCGATAACTAATTAAAGTTGGTAAGTGTTTATATTAAATCGAATTAAAGAAAAGCCAAATTCACAACGAAATTTGTTCAAAAATCCATTTAGAAGGAATGATGCATGAGGATCTAAAGGGAGCTTCGCTGTTTACAGTTACTATCAAAACCGTCCGCCATCCGAGGGTCAATCAGCTGAACCAACAAAAATTACACGAAAGATGAAGTGAATTAATAGTTTTAAAAATAATAAATTAAATTTTCGATGATTGCGACTGCAGAGCGACATTAACTTAGAGTGTTATCAATTTTGGTCCGCTGTGAAAAAAAAGGCAGCTGGTTACTGGGTCAAAGGAAAGGGGAATTTTTCTAGTCGTTTCGATTCGCACCTCTGATTTCCGTAGATGGCTCGCTTCCAGAGATTTCGTGCTCGCTGCCCCCCCGGTACGGCGGCGACTTCGTGGGGCTCTTGCAGTGCGGTCCGGTGGCATCACCCTTACCGTTCGTCGTCTGATTCTGATGGGGGAAATGGAAGGTTGTGGTGTGCGGCCACGAGGCAGGCGGCGGACTACGAACGAGGTGCTCGTGTACTTGCGCGAGCGTCAGTGGACCGGTGTCACCCAGCTCCTAAGTGATAAATTACAAATGAAATCACTATCAGATTTTTGATTATTTTTAGTACTTATTGAAAATTGTTTACAGCAGTAAAGGCGCGACTATCAATTATCGATAAATTTATCAATACTTTATTAATACTTAACGATACATCGATAATATCGTTAACGCGAATAGAAAAGTAGCTGATATAGAATGCAAGGCATTCGTTGTAACAGAATCATTTAAAATTCATTTATTTTTATTGGAACTTATCACAGACAACGTATTACTGTATCTTGTCCGTACTCGTGTTCTTCTGTCTGACTTTCATTCTTTACCAATGGTACGTTATATTTTAATAATTATCGTTCGATGTATTTCTACGTATCAGACGGATTCCGTTCGTCGGGACAACTAAACATATCCTCGTGTTGTCCCCGGTTCGTTTGTTCAAAGATGGCGGGGGTTTATGGACGTGATATCTATTCTAGAAAAACGGTCGCGGTCCGTCGATGAAAGAAAGAAATATACACGCGCCCTTAAACGGCAAGGCTAAGGTCGCTTTTGTGCGGTACCATAGCCCCCAAGTTCACGCTACCATTAATAATGCAACGTAGGTACCGATCGATCTTCCTTTAACGCTCCGATGAATACCGTTGAAAATGACAAAACCGCTCACCTGAGACATCAATATGGCGTCGTCGGACTCGGACTCCTCAATGGACTCCACGAGGCTCTCGCGACTCGCAAGCACCTGAAAACGTACATGTGTCTCATGAAAACAAAAGTAAGACATAAAAAGGTGGATTTCATTCGTTTCACATGTTTCGATATTTTAAGAATAGAAGCTACCCCCGTGTAACACGGTTTGAGAATTGGGGAAACCCTCGAAAACACGGTTTCACTCTAACACAATTAAAGAATTTATAGAGTAGTTCTGCGATGCGTTAACCCTCTTTCGTCCCTTATGTCAATTTCACACATTTCTGTCATCTATGCGCGTAAGTAAATTCAGGCGAGGCTCCGTGACTTTTATTTCAAAGAATTCGAAAATTGAACTATTATTATATCATCGTTGTATGTTAATATTTTGGTACTATGTCAATTTGACACCCAGGGAAAAATTAAGTCGGGAAAATGAGAGAGGAATGAACCGAAAACTCCATTAACCCGTTAACTGCATTTGTCCTCTACAGTGGACGCCCACTTTATCAGACAGGAGTATGAACATCGCACATCCCTACTTCGCAGGAGTATGTAGTATGTATTTCGGCCTCTGACAATTCAAGGAATACGAGTGGACAGACGAATGATATCGATTCGAACCTGTAGAAAAGGATTATCCTGTCGGCTGAGCCTAAGCGCCTCCATATCCTGATCGATGTTCCGTGTTCTACCGGGCGTCAAGGTTAACGTCGAGTGCGATGGGGACGGCTGACAGGCAACGACAACATCGACGGCCGCCACGCTCAAGGTCGACGGAATTCTCGATACCTGATTGTCATTCTCGCTACCACTGCGCCGACAGACGTTCGTGATGATCGCTGAAACAGATATTCCCAGTTCGCGGGGGGGAACAGTCAGCGAAATCGGGGGTCTCACGGAACTCTGGCCCGCCTTCCGTGTTCCATGCCACGGTTCTAATGCGGGGGTGGATCTGAATGTATGTATGTATGTACAGGGTGTAAAAAAATTAGTGGTCATAACTTCAGAGGGTAAATCTACAGCCCTGAATCAACGTGGATATTTGTTAAACAATTTGCCGCAAAATTGGACTGTTATTTCCGAAAACCGGTCATGCCCGATTTGGCTAAAATTTTGCAAATACCTTCATTTTACATAAAAACAATGTTTGCGAGAAGGATTTTGGCGACTCAAAAGTTAAGGCCTAAACTTTTGCGAAAAATGTTTTACTACTGTAATGTCGGTCCCTGCGTTACCGATACAATATTATACTGACCCCAATACCACAGACAAGATATTATCTCGTCTGTGCCGATACTGATCAGAGTTGGTTAGAGACAGTTCAAGAAAAAAAGTAATTCAGAGTAGAGCTGTGACTTTATAAGATACCTGGGTACTATTATTCGAACCAATTATCCTAATTGGAGGATCTACCATGACTTGGGCATTTTTCACGTTTCAGCTTCGCCAGCTTTGATACGTTCTTTCGTGATATGATGTGCAAACCGCGACGGTGGTTTCGGTAAGATTGTAAAGAAAGGTGTGGTTGTTTGTTTAAAAATAAAAATGAAACGCAACATTTTAAAAGCGAAGGGACAATTTTTTTATATCGTTAATAACGCTGGGCTGGGAATTAGTATAGTGTATCCAATTATGAAAAGAACATAAATAAATCACGAATGGGGCTATTAATTAAATGATAAAAATAGATTGTTATAACTGAATAATACACTGGATATGGTAATACGTCGTCATTAATAGTATTTATAAATTTTTTGCACTATTCCTACCACGACGGTAGGCAATAATTCAGGTGATCCATGCTTCCAATTAATAGTATGTATATATAATAAACAATATACCCTTTTCAATGAAATAATTAAAATTAAAATTAAACCGTTTCGATAAATACTCAATAATATTCATTCCTGCGATAAATTCACGATCGAATTTAATTACGATCGTGATTCTTGCAAAAGGGTACGCAATTAAAATAACAGCGTTGGTAAAATAAATTTTTAATTGACTTCACGGTTAAATATATATCGCGCGTTCTAAGTATACGAGGGGTAAGTGACGACGCTTTAATTAATCTTCCGGTTTTTTTTTATTTCCACGGGTATTAAAAATAATCTGCTTCTTTTTCTATTCGTATCCGCGCGTGCGTTGCTCCGCTGAGAATCGCTCGACATTGCTTTTCTCTCTCTCTTTAAAAGAAAACAAGAAAAGTTCCTGCTTTTACATTTTTTTTAACTCCCGACCACACTTCTACCGTCCTTTTTACAGCGTGAACGCGCGCGCGCATAAACTTTATTGTACGGTGGCTGTGGGTACGCGTGTAAAACTTTTTCCTCACCGCGAAGCAATATTCTGCGCATGTCTTTGATTGAAAAAGATGCTTTTAAAAGGATTGAGAGGGAAACGGAAGCGAAGGACGAATGTCGCGGCGAAATAAAATATTACGAAATTAAATTTTAACTCTCCCAATGAAAACGACGCTTTCAGAGGACCCAATTTTTCGGCTGGACTGATTATATATATAGTGACTCATTTAGTTACTATTAGGGGTTGTTACACGTATTAATTCTATTTTATAAAAATGTAGAGTTTTGTAGAAATTTGAGAATACGTCACATTACATTTTGATATTGTATGTGAGGATACTTTTAAATGGTACAAAATGGCGCCAAATCGGTCAATGTTCGAAAATCTTGGAAAAAAGGAAAAGTGTTTATAGGGGATGTTCACGATAATAGTAACTTACCCGATGTCTCAACTTTCGGAGCACGTTCCATTTCTTCCTCCTCGTTGATCTTCATTCCTAAAGTCACCTTTTTCGATTTAAAAAAATTCGAGAGAAATGCTACGCCTTTACGCTTCACCCGGTCGTATCGTTGAGCGTTCTCGGACGACACGTGTATCATCATTCGTCTGAAATAAAAGAAACACTGCTTGTTATTCCAGTTCAATGATCGCAACGAACTAAAATCGTCGGATTCATCTAACAAACCCTCGATTAAAATTCCACTGTGATTATTGAATCACAGTAACAAAAGTAAAAAATTAATATTTTCCACTAGAGGACGATTAAAGAATACGAATTGTATGTGGACTGTTTTCGTTACTTTTTACTCTATTTTTATCTAATCCACTACTTTGTCACTGTACAAAATAATGACCAATTTTTCCTAAAATCGAATAACATTGGTTAAAAATTCAAAATTTTACTATTAAACTATGAACTAAGTAATTGTCTACTACAACACAATTCACCCCTTAATCCCCAGGAAAAAATACCAATCATCAATCACAAATTGTTTCACATTGTACAAAGCTACAGACACATTAAAGCTTCAACAGAACCTCCACAATGTCCAACAAGACCAGAGAAACAAAATCACAAAGTTAAAATCTGCCCGAACAAGACGACCACTTTTTAACCCTTTGTCCTTGCAACATCGAATTCGTCTTCTAACAATTTGAACCAGTACGTAACATAAATATTCTTAATTCCTCATAATCCATCTCTGACCAATAAACGTACCCTTATGACAATGACACAGAGATACCTTCCCTTCCCACCAAATTTCTAACACCGAACTAACACTAACGACAGCATCCACGAAAGTTACAAGACAAGAGGTTAAACCGCCCTCTCCCTCCGCCAACTAGCATCATCTCAATACGCGAGGCAGCCGTCAAAACAAAAAATCAGAAAAGAAAACAGAAAAAAACAAAGCAGTCGAGAAGAATCTGAAGCAAAGATTCATTCGACACTTCCGGGGCCGGTCCTGGCCGGTTCTCGAAGGGGAAGGAACGAGATTGGTCATTGTCAGCGGAACAACGTTCCACGGATCCTGTCACCGGTATAATACGCGGAAAGGACACGCGTTTCCCGCTCGCGCGTTGCACGTAATTCACCGGCGTGCATCGATCCGTTCTCGTGTTGATTCGCGACAGACAGTTTTACCGTGTCTCGTCGTCGAGTTCGTGGAGCAGACGAACGTTGTGTCCGATGGTTGTACGCCGTGGAACTGGAATGCACCCATCGAAAAAGAGACGATTCGCGGCTGCGATCGCATTGCAAACTGCAACGGAAAGGGTGTGCTCGCCGTGGCCACCTATCGGCCGTTCTGCGCAGCTGCGAGTGGCGCCTAACGATACTACGACGCATGCTCGAAACGCGCGGGAGTAAGAAGGGTTGAGAGGAAAAGAACGGAGGAGACCGGCGACGCGGGCCACCGCGAAGTGGCCCTAAAGAGCGGCGAGTGGACACCCCCGGAAGGTCCTTGCCCTTGGACCTTTGTGTCCCTGGCCACTTAGACCATCTTCCAGTCGACGTGTCTTTTGTTCAGAGAGTTATCTCGGGGTCTGTGTTTTGATCGCTTAGCTCGGCCATTCTTTGGAACTTTTCCGGGATTGTTTGTGCCGACTTGGTTGATCTGAAGGGGATTCTCCGAGGGGATGATTCACTACATGTGACGATGGGACCTTGTTGTTTCAATTGTATTGATTCTATACATTTCTGGTGTATAGAATTTATTTTTTGGAAAGGACAGGGTGATAAATCGAGGTGAAACTGGCAAAGTCCAAAAGACTAAACGGTGTCCTATTGTACAGACGATAATGTGTTTTGAGAACTGTTATGTTATTGAACATAGTTGCTGAACGCCTATAGACGTTTGCACACGATAGAGACTATCTGCAATTACACGTCTATTATAGAATAAACAAATACCTTTCTAAGTGAAATTAACTAAAAAAAAATGTAAAACTTTCCAGAATTGAATGGAAGAATCCTGTAGTAGATAAATAGAAAGATTCGAAAAGTCATCTTGAGTCATCATGATAGAAAAGAAATGTCAAACTGACACCAGTTAATCATTCACCTTGTAACTAACGTATTTTTCGAAAAAATGTACGCGTCAACGCGATGGGGTTGCTTAGGGGTTCATTCTGCCGCGAGAATATCCAAGATGCATAGAGCACGTTCTCCAGGTGCTCATCACCCCTGGTGACCTACATTTCTCGCAGAGCGTTCAAGCAGCCTGATTAACCCAAGCCAGAATATATCATCAACCCAAGGAAACGCTCTCCAGCTACTCAACAGCCATCCAACCCCTCAATACCCTCGCAACTCTCCCCCGACTTACTGCACGATCATTCATATTCGCGCAGTACCAACCTACTGTGCAAAGATCGGAAGTCCCCGAGTATATACCTACACTAAGATTCGCTAGCGTTGTCGCTCTATCTCACTCCATCTCGATATGTTTTCGTCGCGTTCATCGTCGCACGATAAACCTGTGAATACGATCGATTCGGCCAATAATGAGTATTCCTGTAACCGTAGGTGGTCCAGCTGATTCAATTCGTCGACAACTTACGATCTCTGCACACTACATAACCCTTAAAGACCACACTATATTATCCTACCGATTCGACCAAACATGGGTCAACGTAACCCAGACGCCGGTCTTTCGCCTATCTCGCAAATATGCAGTAATTCGTACATTCGTTTACAGACTTCTGAAATAACAATTATGTGTCGAAACTTGTATGCAATTTCTATTTATACATTCTCCTTATTCTTACTTTTATCATCCCTCTGTGACAAATTTTTCCTAATTTCCAAATGAAATTTGCATTTGGTAAATAATTTGGTCAAATAGAAGTGACAATCTTTCGTGAGTGACTATAAGTAATTGAATCACAAATTTTTTCATAAAACACCACAGCCCCAACCTCCCACCATTTACCGTTCAGAAATGCCAGGTGTCTTTCAGGGTTCAACATAACCCCGTCTCGATCCACGAACCGTCCAAAAAAGACCGAGCGCACATAGGCGTCGACCGTGCCACGACGACCGACGACGACCGTCTGAAACGGTTCGTAAGACCGTGATCCAGGGTTAGGTTACCGACACATGCTACCCCCAATCTCACACGGGTGTTTTTCCACGAGAGCATCTACACCCGCCCGGCAGCTCAGCCAGCGATCGATCGTCGCCCACGGTCCTCGTGTGGAATCGGGGACGACGAAAGGCGGCTCCCGCGGAACCACCACGCGTCATCGTCCCGGAGCTACAACGTCCGACGGGTCTACTTACGTCGTGACAGACGCACCTGGTCGTTCATGTTCCCGACGTGTCGGTTCCGGGAACCCTCCGCGACGAGGTGGAACGAGCACTGGTTCGTATCCGCGTCGCGACTACTGCGTACACTCGTGACATCCCCACCCCCTGGCGGGGGTTGGCTAACCGGCCCACCACCCTCCACGCGGTTGGTTGCAAAACGCGAGTGTAAAGGCGCATCTCCACTAGTGTTTACGACCAGTAGGGTAGACGTCAAAATTACCGTCACCTTAACCTCTTCAGGGACAAATTACAGATTCCTCTCGATTATTGTCCCGAGGGAGAAATGCTTCAGACGTTCGTAAATTCGTTTTTTGGCAACAATGTGTGCGCTTGACAGGTTCCACGCCCCCTTCTCTACTGGTGGGAATAATGCCTGGATAATAATCGTGTAGAACAAACCACACAATAATCGAGAGGAGTCTGTATTAAGACTTTTTCAGCTGGATCTAATTTTGGATTGGTTTTTATAATATTAATTAGTTTTTTTTATATCCGTACTGATAGCTCCCGAAGGTCAGTAGCCGTAACCGAAACGAAAAATTGTTTGTAATTGTGAAAATATTAATCTTTCAACCCGTGTTTATTAGGAGTGGATATGCAGCTTAAGCCACGCGTCGCCCCTGGACACGCGCAATCCCGTCGGCTCCGGGGGAGTCTCTTTCACATTCGCTGGGCGATAACGCTCCAGAAGATGATTTTTCCACCCCCCCCTAGGAGCTATTGTGTCGCCCTTTTTCTCTTGCCGCTTCCCCGTTTACCCTCTTCTTTGTCAGGCGTGACGGGTACGGTGTCATCGACGGGTCACGCGTACCTGAGCGTGAAGGTACAGAGTGATGCTTGAAACGTGCCTCGAGAGGGTTTATCTGGGGAATAATGAAGGTATTGGAAGGGTGGTTGAAGGCTTACCGTGCAGAAATTCGACTGAGGTTTTGTTACATGCTAGTCACTCACGAATGTCTTCGAAAAAAAAACTCCATAAAAAGGTAATTGTGATTAATATAAGCAATAATTTTGTGTAAATTATTAACATACGAAATAATATTAACGATGTTACAACAAAATATATTAGTCTATATAGGAATATTTTAACAATAAGAAAAAAAAAGAATTATGCATCTCACAAAAGTGATCTTCTTTATAGGGTTGTATATACGAAGACTTTCGTAAGGGACTGCGTGTACCTTGAGTGATATTGGTCGGGTCAAATTGATGAACAAAAAAAATATTTAGTTTCAGTCTGTTTGGAGGAATCTGGGAATTGATTTAGTGTCGATGATGTAATTGATGTTAATTGATGTTGACTGATAACGAATTTATAACCGATCAGATATACTTTACGACTACTTCAACTATCAAAGTATCGTCTATGTTTCGACTAATTGCTTTTAAGCAAGACATCAAGACTTCCAATTACTCAGCTTGTAAAGAAAATTACAATTATTCTAAAATTTCTTGTCGAATTAAAAACTAAGAATCAGCAGACTACAACGGAAATCTGAATAAGTATCAACAATATTCTTATTTCATTGTCAGCTTAGACGATGATCTCATTTGGTATAAAAAAACTTTCTCTGGTTCAATGATAAGCAGGTTTTATACGTTTCGTCGTTTCGACTTTTGTAATATTGTAACTGTCATGGAACATTAATTATTTAACAAATATAATATACATACTGACTGGGTCACCGGTGACCCACGTGGCCTGGAGAACAAATCACATAAAACTGTCATCGTACGAAATGTGTTAACAGTAAAAAAAACAACTTGCACAAGAAATAATTCTATTAA